TCTCCATTCTGATACTCCCTGGCCATGGGCTGCAATTCATACCAGGAGAAATCGTTTTTTGTCTCATTATGTAACAGAAAGTGAGGGTTGAGTAATAAAGACACATTGATCGACCATCTGTTAGAAACTCTATATACTGATTAAAAGGAATAAGGCAAATCTAATATGCAATTAGATCAATAGAGGTCCATGGCACTTACAGTCCATGTAATGATAAGTTCATTACGGTTTCCACCACCTCCACCAAGTCCGCTGGGAGCCACACTGGGTGCTATAAGGCAAAATAATAACACACTTATATAGAGGGGAAAAAACTACTATCAACCAAACATATTTCTATGTGGAACCACACTTATATTTTATGTCAATTTGTTTTTCATTTGGTTTTATTATTCTTCAACACTAACAACTCTGTAATGGTTCTGACCTGCTTGCTTGGTTCGGACAGACTGGGAGGGCATGCTTGGTTCTCCACTACCCAAAATGTTACTGGCAATGACCTGGAATTCATAATCCATCCAGGGTCGAAGATCTATCACACGTGCAGACTCAGCATTTCCTTCTATGTTCGCAGGGTCTGAAGGAACCCATGAGAGGTACATATTCGATCATTGAGAATAACATAATGTATGATGCTCTAATACAGCAGTTCCAAAACTGATTTTGATCTGTGTGCAAACATGCAGGCCCATCCACCTCACTAAAAAAGATAGGAAGTCATATTCTTTTTTTATTTATAACTGAAATTTTAATGTTTTGTAATATACAGTCAGGGCTTAACACTAACACCCGCCAACCTGCCAAATGCGGGTGGACTTTATCAGTGACGGATAACACGGTCACTGCCACTAGCCACTTTAGTGGGATGAATTTTATATACAGTAACAGAGCTCGCCATTAATGCTTGTCTGGGACAAGTGGATTTTTTGATGGGGCAAGTGAAAGGGAATTTTACTTGCCCGACCGGACAATTAACCTGATTAAAACATCTAAGTAGGGTAGCACCGAAATTTCGGTGAGAATGATTATGATTTTATTACATTTTGTGTAAATGGCAATTTATAATGGATAATGCATTGACAGTAACAAAGTTGCGTCAGTTGAGGCTCACGCAGCCTGTCTGTTTGTGAAAGAATCTCGTGGAGAAAT